CGTTTTCTTTGTTTTTTCGCAGTCGCACCAACGGCACTTCCAAGTTGCTACGCGCCCTAACCCATAACAACAACAACCAACGGCATTTAATTTTCCTTGTTCTTCTTCCTTTGTCCTTAACGTATCCTGTGGTTCCAGAGTCCCTGTCCTTTCCATTTCCTTTTAAATATATTTTTAATGCTCATCCCTATCCCCCAGTCCTAACAGTTTCAAATTGTATTGCAATAAAATGTTTTGAATTCTTCACATATAACCTCTCTACCTTCGTTGGTACTGTTGGTAGCCAGTGACACATCTAGGCAGGTAAGTAGGTACCTACCTGCTTTCCTGCTGTCTTCATAAAGCATACCTAATGAAGTTGTCAAATTTATAGCACATTTTCAACACTTTCATATCAATATGGTGTCAGTGTGGCATGTAACCTAGCTAGGTTCATTATGTTCAGGGTTCAATTCAGAAAAGCTCCGCATAACTCACATAAGAGACAGACGGGGGCTTTACATGGGGTAGATGGCCTGATGACTTAGCTGGAATATGGCCAAAATTAAATTGATAACTTTTTGGTGAAAGGTGGTGATTTGGGTTAAGGGGCGTTTGTTGAAGTCAACTACTGGGTTATTTTGCAACCATTAAATGAAACTTCTGCTCCAATTCTACCCATTGAACCTCAATATCATGATCCACCTGTCCATCACTAGGTATCCTTCCTTATTACATCAACATAGAAACTTTGAATGGCATGGCAATTTATAATTTTAAATGACAATATTTTTGTTTCTTCTGTAGGTAGGTAGGTAGGTATAGGTACACCAGACTGCTATGGACACTTTTCCAAGTTGGTGGGGCAAAAAACCTAATGTATATCTTGGTTTGAGTCGTTTGATTGAGTTGATTGATTCCTTTCATTGTCGCGTTTGAGTCGATTGAATCAATTCCCGAAAACTGCTCTGACTTGATTGATTTGATTGGTTTCCCAAATTTGTCGTGATTGAATTGATTGCTATTAATTGAGTCGTATACAACCCTGGTTTGACCAGTTTCGTGAAACGGTTCCGTCTTTAGTCGTTATATCTGCTCCCTAAGCGTGAATCTGCATATGCCAAATAACTTGAGCAGGTTGGACAACTTCAAGTCGCTAATGCATGCTTATTAAAATAAACTTTTTCTCATACCTTTCAATGAAACTCCCGGAACCTGTCGCAGTTTCGCTAGGATGGTGTCTTGTGATGCATTGCAGTCTCCACTGTTACACCACAGTCGTCACTTTTAGCATTCATCCAGCATTTAAATTATGTCAGAAGGCATTTTCTGACTATATCCTTTTACTAGTGTGCGTCGGTAGAGTCGATCTCATGATAGAATCGGCAAGGCGGGGACAGGAGACGATGGAAGTGGCAAGGACAGATTGGTTTTAATTCAGAGACGGGTGTATGTCCAGGTATAAAGGTGCATATCTTTTTATCACCAACTTACAGTTTACTTCGACTTTTTATGCATGCATGGTCTATTGAACGATACGTGAGCTAAGCGCAATGCCCAAATATACGCATTGACGGAGGAGAAAATACTCGCAGTGCGCGACGGGTTCACCCGTGGTAAGAGATGGGATTATCATGATTAATAGGCTAAACGCCTCTCATCCCAATATTATTTATCGCTTGTGTACGATGCGATCTTCTAGGAGGAGTCTTCTCCGACCTAAGTGTTATTTTCCCCACCATTCATCCGATTAAACGCCTTGCTATGCGGCGCGTAGTAAATTCTGTCTTATCAATTAATCAACAAAGTGAAACTCAGTTGCGGCTTATGCACTATTCAAATCTCCCCCGCTCCGCCCGCTGTGTGCATAGCCAATGGGTGATAGCTGACCATACAAAAACTTTATATCCGCGGCGTGTTTGCTCGAAAAACTGTATGCTTTCGCCGCAATGTGTATGCGCCGATCGCGCGGCGCGACACCGGAGAGCGGTGGGGGCATCAGGTACTCCTCGGCTGTCTCAGCACCGGCGAATAAGTCATCAGAATCGGCAGTGAGCTCCGCTGGTAAAAACGCCGTGTGAAGGAGAGAGTGCAGCGGCGCACCGATCGCCGATAGCAGTAGCTGCTTTCTCGGGGACTGCCGCGGCTGACAGCGGGAACACGATGGCTCACTGATCTGTCAGTGGTGACGATCACAGCAATCATCGGCGCAGTGGGACGTTGCATACCGTCGTCGTCTGTCCTGCGGGCCCCTGCGCACCGCTGTGCTTCCGATGCTCTTTGTCTGACGCAGGGGTTAACGAGCCAAACCTAAGCACGTCACAGGTTTCAATATCGCGGTGAGTTAGACGACTGATGCCCAGACGCCTTTACAGTCTGACCTGCTAACGGGTCCTGATTGCATATGCAATGTCTTCGGTCAGGGCGCATCGAATTGGCACCAGGCGCTCGCCCGTGATGATGAGCGACACGTTATGGCCACGCGTCACACGGCCTGTAATCACGCTGATAAGGGTAGCTATTAAAGTGGGACTTCGGCAATTAGTTGTTGCTAACGAGAGACGGCTCTAAGTTTATCGGTCGAAAGCGCTTGCGTATAGATTACCACCTGTATCTACTCTGCACTGTACAGCCCTATCTAAAATTACGTATCAGCAGAAATGCTCATCATTTAGCAAATGGGTAAGTAGGCAAGTGTAGGCAAGTTGTGTATCAGCGCTTTTTGCGACGCAACTTCAGCCGATCTACGTTACGAAAAAAGCACACACACAGACACGTTTCTAAACGCATATAAACATATAGATGGAGGTGGGCAGATGAAGTGCAGTGAGCCAATTCCTGAGAGCTGAGAAGCATGCGGTACTACGAGTACCCGGCTCGTCTCCAGAACGGCCGAATTGCACTTTGTCGCTGTGCTCAGGTCTCTGACATTCAGTCCACGCCATTTAAACATCCAGTACCCATCCATATCTCCAAATGCCACAAAGAACAGTCAGCACGTCGATGAAGGTAGAGCGTGCCACAATCAGGCCAGAAATGAAACTTTGCCGCAACGAGGGGCTTGACGAGAATTGTGTCATGCTAAACTGACTAGGGACATTTGCATGGTCAGGGCAGTTAGGCTCCATCCACCTTAGTCCTTAGTCAGTCCCGTTCTCGTAGAAATCCTTCGTGGCTTTACCGTCTACAAAGGCCCAAATTCGGCCCGATTCGGCTTTGCTCCCTGGACAAGACCGGTGACCTATGAAGATATTTTACAGCATTACCGATATCGATCAATACCTAACGGCCACGGCTACATTTGGTCACTTGCGAGGAAAGAAAAGCTAGGTGGAGGGGGACTCAGTTCATTACCTATGCTTTTTTAAGATGCTTATGGTAGACGATCGTGGATTTTTGAGCTTAGAATGGTCTTAACGGTACGCCTCATGACATAACTCATGCAGTTGACGCTTCATTGCAACGTCGCGTGAACTTCATCACCCTATCGCCCCCTTGTTGCCAGGTTCACATCGCCTGGGAACTTCACGTTGCGTCAATTAAATATCGCCGAGTCCAGACGCCACAGCTGACACTTCCTATTTCAGCTCGCACCCGGGCCGTTTTCAACACCCCATTTCATCACTCCATCATCCAGGAAGCAGCCCCTCTCCGATTTCCTGCAATAGCGTACCGCACTCGGTGAATGGCTCGGCGAGTCGTGCGTCCGGCTCCCCGCCGCGACCGCCCTCCTGACCTTGCTGACCTCTCGTGCTGCCCCCGGGGTGATCCACTCACCCCTCCCCCGCCCACCCGCACAGGAAGAGGGTCACCGGCGGCCGCATCTCGCTTTCAAAGGTCGCCGTCGGTCGCGCTGGGAGATGGGATACGGCTCCCACCCGCTCCGCCACCGGGCGAGCGGCGATCATCGAGACTGTTGCGTTGGAGTTTGTGTGGAAAGGTGATACGTCTGGGATTGAATGTCACTAGAGGTTTGGGCGTGGTTCAGATAACGTCTGTCGGTGGGGGGGGGGGGGGGGAGGGAAGCTGTGTGCCTCAGGCGGATAAGGACAATATTGGCCAAGACGGAGACGTCACTTTCGATGACACAAACGCTGGGGATTAGAGTGGGCGGCGTAATATGAAACTGTCGCCCGGCGCAGAGCAGACACAATAGAGCCGGGGTGGATAAAGGCGGAAGACGCCACCGTCATGTGTCACAATTTGATGGCGAAACATGTTACGCGCACTGGCCTGGGCCGTAGGCCCACCCTATCGTAACTAGATAAAATTGTTAAACGGAATAGCCAGCAAGGCACTATTATTCCATCACTGCTAATAAAGCACGCTTACTGATGAACTATTTGATGCTCTATAATTATAAATAGTCACGGCAGAATTTTGTTTCGCATTATAGTCGAATTACCGTTATGTAGCGTTGATGGCTCCACAGTCCATCTATTATACCTACATGCTACTCCACAGGGCAGTGACTTTCAGAAATCACAACAGGAACCATGAATGAGTGCTAGTGGATAGGAAGTAATACGACCCGTGACGTGCCTACTGATTACCCGGATTTAGATCCCGGACACACCGAAATAAAACAGGCATTGAGTGATCCATTGTCAGCAACAGCTCGACGTTTCCCTTTCTAGTTTCTACAGCCCGGTTGCAACCTCTGTTTGGTAAGGCGGTACGAGTCGTTTGTTCATTGTTCATCGCAAATGTATGTGTAGACACACCAAAGGCCGCTCCCGCCTCGTCGGCACACACGATTGTTTACCGGCTTGGGTCGTGCTCCTTTTAGACCTTCTCTCATGCGGAGTTAATCACAATCGATACCGCATCAGACAGGAATCGCTTTCACGCTTTCATGGATCGATACCTCAGAGACGGTAAGTGCATGAATTATGAACCCTTATCACTACCTGGCGTAGGTAAAAGACCGATCATCTTTAAAAACACACCTAACAGGCAAACAAGTGGCATCGTGTTCTCTCACCAACGCGCCAAACCTCGTTCCATCACAAATACCAGCACTCCTTTGAAAGGTATATTGGTAGGTAAATTCCGTGCGCATGTCTTTTCTTCATCGAACACTAACATTGCAATGTGTACAATACGTCGCACATTCGCGGCTCCGAATATGGCGGCGAGCCACCTCGCACGATGGACACACCCGCTCCTAGCCGTTCAGTTGTACTTTTCATGATCGAGCGATCACCGATTGCTGCCGAGAATTGCTAGCGATGCCAACGCCGCCTGGCGGCGCACATTTGTACTAAGACAGAGCCGGGTCCGTTCTTCACCCGCCTTCGCTCTGCATTTCAAAAGTTTCTGATGACACGTTAACTACCACGTTCAACGAAAAGTGTGTCTTGAATAAGCATGAATGAAATGAGAACACTGTGCGTGTTTTAATGCCAAAACAATACGACTCCATTAGCAAGACTCACGAAAATGCGTAAGAGCCTACTCAGCTCTCAAACGCAAACATTCTCTTCACGAAGTTCAAAAAGGTCACAGCTTACACAAAATTCCGCACAATACATAAAACTCGCCCACAAAACTTGCCCTGTTCAGCGACAGCAGCAGTGAAAGACAATCCCTTCAAGCGCACTTCTTGCTGACCCTGCCCAAGCGTGAAGAGCTTCATTGCCTCAAAGCACAATCAGCCACTTTATGTACGCCACACGCAGAATCGTTAACGGATAGCAGTATGCCGAAGAAGGGAGTGATTAAAGCTGTCCAGGCGACAAATGGCAATGCCCAGATCACAGCAACCTAAAATGAAACTGAAAAATGACCAGAATAGCCGCGAAAAGGATCTTGTCTTGAAGGAAAACAGCATAGGTGATTTTAAATCTAGCTTACCGCAGTTGGCAAGTTGACACCACAGTGTTCTAAAATTGGATATTGGTTGGGTGTGCCGATGAAGAAAAAAATCTTAGGATGAAAAAAGAGAGTAAATAACTGCAGTATTTTTGCAAAATGGTGTAATGCCAATTTTTATGCTAACTGATAAACCAGGATTTCATGTCAGGATCTTGACAGGGTGTGGAACAAAAGGATGTGGGTGCATCAACTGTCAAGTGACAAGTGAACTGGCTGTTGGGAATACATGAAACTCTTTTCAGAGATGAAGTAAAGTTGGTCATTCATATTTTAGAGATGAAAATATTTTCCCCATTAGGTGTGATTTGCCACCAAAAAGGCTGAAAAATGAAACACTGTGACACCAAGACCGAATGCCCAAACGTGTTAAGCGGGTTATTTTCGAGCCTTCTTTGAAGTCATGATGACTCAAAACAAAGCCACCATTATAGAGATCATACAAAAAGAAAAAAAGCCCAAGCTCCGATCATTGCCGATCTACCAGCTCGGACTAAAAACATACACATACGCGAGCTGATGGCATTCAAAATAAACATCACAGTCCCCGCTAGCAATTACTGGCTCGTTCGGTACCTCAAACAACCGCCAAATGCCGAGCACGCTTCGAAAGGCAAATATCTGGGATAAGCTGGTTCACAGGCGACCTGGTAAATGTCACTCTTCGGCGTTAGGGCCTTGTAGACTCAGTCGGTCTCTGATAGTTTCTCAGTGACCGGTTGTGACAGCTGATGGCCCTCAAGGTCATCGCCTCACCGCTGATTGGCTCCCGGTATTGCCATCTGACCATTCATTGGCTCCCAGTTCCGTCGCCTGACCGTTGATTGGCTCTCACCGGTCAGGTGGGCGGCGATTGGCCGCTGGCGAGCGGTGCCTCGCAGGCGGCCGGGATCAGGTCGGACAGCTGGAAGGAGGTGGGCAGACCCTGGCTGGAGCCGCTGGCGGGCGCTGCGGCAGCAGGCTCGTCCACCTGGGGCGGAGGAGACACGGGGAGTCAGCGGTTAGCGTCGCCTTAGGTCTGGAGATCGGTCAGCAAAGGCTACAACATGACGTAATTACAAACTACAGACTACACAAGTCACAACATTGCTCGCGAAAAGTAACAATAAGTTGCCGATAGCAATACCAATTTATTTGGCATTCAACAACAAAACAAACCGTCATAACTGCTTAAAAACGGGACGAACTTCGCATTTTAAAGCAAAATTCGCGTGCTTCCAGGGCCTTGAAAACGCTTGATGCATCAAATATCTTGGTTTTAATGACCAAAAAAGAGCAAGAACACGATGAAATTCTAAGCACGAAGCGAAAACAGCTTGAAACCATACAGCTAACCTTAGACTCGGGCGAATCGTTATCTAACAAATAACAAGCAGCATACCTTATCCTAGAGTAACTAGCCGTTTTTTAAAACGACCACTCACCTCAGCGAGATCGAGCGAGCCGAAGCTGTCGGGGGTGTGTCGCACCAGCTCCTCTGCCGTCATGGCCAGAGGGTCGGAGAGCGACTCCTTCGAAGGCGGCTTGCTCGTCTCCAGGTGGCCCAGGATGCTGCTCAACGAAAAGTCGCCCATCTGGAGACGGGACGGGAGGGCGTCAACATGCCGTCCCTGAGGTCTTGACTCTTGACTCGGTTTTGTGTGAGTGGTTAGCGAGGCAAAAAGAAGGCAAGATTCGAACAAGTTTAGTTTGGCTTAGCTTTCTTTCAAGTACTTTCCTTCTTGAACTTGAACTTGAAAGTTCATGTTCAGAATCTCTAAAATATGCTTTCTGTAAATAAACATGACATCCCTTGTGACAACACTCAAAAAGACACCTTAAGCTACCGCATGTCGAACATTTCATTATAATGCCAGGCTTTGAAGCATGATCGCTTCAGAATCGCGTGGAAGCTCACAATCACTTCCACAAATCACCATCTTTTTCAAGCTATCTTTGCCAGAGCATCGATGGCACAGGGCAACTGCACAGACCACCGAGTGTGTATCACGCACCTCGCTCCAGACCCGTGGACTGGCCGGCGGGGACGGCCTCGGCAGCGAGTTCTCACAGAGGGGCCGGGTCGGGGTCTGGAGTACCGACGAGTCACCGCCGCCCCGGCCGAACGACGCCAGAAAACCTGAAACAAACGGGGATAGGTTAGGAGTCGCGAGCGATGCAGCTGGGACGATTCAAGAAACAGAAATACGATTACGAAATACGATTACGAGATCCGAATACGAAATACGAATACGAAATACGAATACCGGGTTTATTAGCTTTGGACATGCCGACCAGCTTCCCCCACCCGATAGCTCAGAAGTCTACTGAGATTAGAGTCAGTTACCCCCCACACCTCACGTACGCGAGGTTGGTGACTCTACTTCTCCCCCTCCCCACGCACCTTTGGGAGGGTTAAGTTCGAGTCTGCCATAATTGGACTTTATTCCCCTCCCCCCACACTCACCTGAGAAGCTGGAGTTGGAGTTGGCCAGCGTGACATCCATCAGCACATCTGACGAGGCGCCGTTCAGCGAAAACTCCGACTCCGGAGGCGGCGGCAGGCTCTCCGGAGTGGAGGACCTCTCCGGGATGTGGAGGACCGGAGGCGCGGCGGGCTCCTCGCCTCCCGGTTGGGGCGGGGGCGGAGGAGGCGGTGGGGGAGGGGCGGGGGCGGGGGCGGGCGCCCTAGTGTCTCCGGTGTCCAGTACGGGCATTGAGATGGTGATACCCGGAGTGGCCGCCGAGGAGACGGGTACAGGCACGGAGACGGGCACGAAACTGCCAGCAGTCTGGGGAGGGGAGACAGTGGGTCAGCCTCAGCATGGCGATATGAAAACTGCTAAAGACGTAGCACTCATTATTGAAACTGGGAACTAGCAATATTTGTAAGCTCGTGCGAGCCAAAAAGCACAACATTCGTGCATAAGCGATTCTGAGTAGCTTACAGTCTTCCAGACCTAACCAGTAAGTAAGTACATTGTACATTGTACAAACATCCCACGCAAGCCCACGCCAGCATTCTACAACCTCAGTAAGCCAGTGATGTTATCCAGTTATGATCCCCGCAATTCTTTAGTCAGCCCCCACCCCCATTCCTTCCAAAGTGAGCTAGAATCCGCGCCACTGACCTGCGTCTGTCCGGCCACCAGTCGCAGGTTGACCATGGAGATGCCACCGCCGCCCTGATTCCGAGGCACCAGCGGCAGCATGCGCTGCACCACCACCTGGCTCTTGCGGCCCGGCCGGCCGGCGCGGTTGTTGGAGCGAGGCAGAGTGCGCAGCTGGCGAGGTAGAGAGCGGACCGTCAGAAACGGAGTCGTCAGATACGGGGTAAAACGGGAACGGGATGGCAGAATTGTGAGCTCGTTCTACGAATTGACAGCGGATAAGGGAAAATAGCACGGAAGCTCTAAGCTCTTTATGATTGCATGACACAAACTGCAATCACACAGAACAAACTATTACACATTTTACAGTACATAGCAAACTAATCTTGACAGAACCAGCTTCCACCGAGGCATTGCTGAAGCGCCTGTCGACAGTAGCGTCCCCTTTAACACACACTCGTACAACAGAACGTAAAGCTCCCAGACATTTCGCCTCACAAAATGGCCGCATAATACGATAGCCGGATTTCCTAGCGTGTTTATCAGAGCTGCCCACTGGTGGCGCAATCTCCCTACCGTACTAGTTTACATGATTTGATAGCGACGGCAATACAACCACTCTCCAGCACAAAATAATCCAACACAGCACAAACAAACAAAGGACTCAGAGCCCCGACATACTCAACTCGCCACCCAACCCACAACACCTTCCCCCACTAACCGCCGTTTCCAGAGGAGGCCTCATGACACCCGCGTCCGTCCCAGCGCCGGCCGCCGGCAGCTGAGGCCTCGCGCGGGTCATCGCTGGAGCGATAGGGATCGGTCGCCGCGCGCCGGGCTCCTGAGGCCCGCCCGGCCGGCGCGGTCCCGACGCCACGTAGTAGAGGGGCTCCCGGCCGGGGAGAGGTCGGTGCGCCATGCTGGGTGGTGTCTGGGTACCTGTGGTGACCAGGGGTCCGGCCGGGAACACGCGGCCCCGTGTTTCCGTCTGCCCGGCAAAGGAGGGATGTCAATGGTCAGTAATGGGGGATCAGTTGAGGAGCTCAGACAACGAAATTCGTCACAAGTCAGGAAAAAATACCTCAATGACCAACCAAGTAGATTCAGACGCATCACTAGTATAGCTATAATATAATTCTGTCCTGAATACAATTATACCATCACAGATGTAAACTAACCTAACGTCAAATCGGTCTTTCACACTCTTCGTATAGCATACGCACAAAGGCACGATTATGTCTTCGATTATCCGGATGACCACACTCACCTTTATTTTGGCCAGCCGTGCGACGTTTAACAGCTGAGCCAGCATCGACGTCAGCATCTTCACCTTGCGGGAGGCCTCGCTGTCCGCCCCGACGGCAGTGGTATCGGTGAGCGCCCGAGCCGCTGCCACCTGTAGCGCCCACTTCTTCAGCTGGTCGGAGGGCTCGCCGAAGGGCGCAGGCTCGGCCGGCACCACCTCAGCCGTCGGTGCCGTCCCGTTCGTCTCCTCTTTCGTCTCCTCCTTGCCCTCAGCGTTCAGCTGTTTGAGGGAGACGTTCTTCGGCAGCCAGAAATATTGTAGTTTGATGGTGTCTGGACGATTCACCTGAAAGAGACGCGTCAAAATCGTCATTACCAGCAGTATCGGTAGGCCATCTGCGGAGAACGATACGGCACGAATGCACCGGGAAGTGGGAACATGTTCTAAATTGATATGCCCAGGACAAGAAAGTGTGCCTGCAAAATAACAATGAGAAGTAAAACAATCTGACAGGACATGAGCATCAAAATCACATTGTTCATCGTGAAAGAACGAAGCAACTAAAGCTTGTAAGGCTATATAATGCCTCCACGGACGATCCGATTAAATACGGCGAACTCATAATCTGACCTAGCACACTCTACCAGCCACCCCACGCCGATTCCCGTGTGCGAGCGCTCACCATCATGTAGAGCTCGCCGACTGTGCGGGTGCCGGCCGTCTCCGCCGTCCAGCCCGTGTTCAGCTCACTGCGCTGTGTCCTCTCGGCCTCCCTCCTCTCCTCCTCCAGCCGCGACCGCTCCTGCTCCTCCCGCTGCTCCTCCTCGTCCCTCCTCCGCTCCGCCTCCTCCAGCTGCTTCCTGAGCCGCTCCTGACGCAGCCTCCTGCGAGCGTCCTCCTGTTTCTGTCTCGCCTCCTCCAACTTCTGTTTCGCCTCTTCCTGTCTTTGTCGCGCTTCCTCCTGCTTCCTTGCCTCCTTTTGTTTCACCTCTTCCTGTCGTGACAGCTCAGACTCTGCCTCATCACAGGCGGACTCTCGTTTCGCTCCGGCCGACGGCGCATCCTCACTAACTTTCTTTGGCCCCGCACTGCCCGCACCCGCCGACTCAGACACCGAATGCAGCTCCTCCAGAACGTTCTCGAAGCTCAGTCGGACGCCACAGTCGGGTGTGGTGGGTGCCGGCGCGGGCGGCGGCTGGGGGGTGGGTGTGCGCGGCGCCGGCGGCTCCGAGAGCAGCATCATCCGCTCCTGGTAGCGCTCGAAGCTCAGGTTGACCACGGGGGCTGGCGGCGCCGGACGGATCACCTGAGCTGACAATTTGTAGTCGGATGTGGCACGTAGCACGAGCCGACGGGCCGGAACAGGGGCAGGCTCGTCACCACACACCTTCTCCAACTGAACAGGGTGCAGTCAAGGAAATAGCGAACTAAATACATCATTCAATCATCGCAAACCATAATGCCGTAATGTCACGATGCTAAAGCAAAAACTAGTGTGGAACCCACACCGAAACGATTCCTCATTAAGAAAACGATGATCCATAAAACTGATAACGGTGAAAGATCCAAGCTCAAATGATTCATCGACACAAGCAAAGGGGCCCACCCACAGCTGCAGGCCAGCATGCAACCACTAAAATCATTCCATTCCAGCAACATAACTAGCGCCTCTTAGTCTTCCACTCCCTCCCAGCCCGCTTTCAAACACGTTTTCAGAGGATACAGCTCTGTCGGCCTCGGTTTTCCATCTTTTCTCCAGGGCCAATACCAGCGTTCTGAGCCGATACTGGAGCGGCAGTGTGGCACGCAGTCGCGGGTTGTGAGACAGAGACTGCACGTGGTACCAGGCCTCGTTGGTGGCCGGTGTGAGCTCCAGCTGGGTACGAGCCGGCAGACGGACGAACGGCTCCTCAGCCGGGTCTGTGGATGAAAGTGATGGGGTGTCGCAGTGAATAAATATGGTGAACAGGCCAGTGCTCGCAGACAGGCTATGGGCCGAAGTGACCGGCGTAAATGATCACAAATAAGGTTCTCCACAACTCAGGGCTACACCTAATCAGTTTAAGACGACATTGGGTAACACATGTGCTAGAGCAGACCTCCAAGATATACATATCCACGAATCTATGCCACTCGGTACTCGATGGACCTCCTTTACACCCAGTCAACCACTCAGATAACTTAGCTTCTAGCCCACCGACCTTGGATCCTGTTGATTTTCTTCAGCGCGCGGCAGACGGGCGTGCGGATGCGGTACGTCTTGCCCCGGAGCCGGACGGTGGTGCTGCCGCGGTAAACTAGCTCGTTCAGGCGCTGTCCACTGCGCTCGTTCAACATGCCGATCCGCTTCCGCAGCTCGCCGTAGTTGACCAGCAGGTAGATCTCCTGGATGGAACGCTTCACGTCTGTACGAATAGGTCACGGGATAGTGAGTGGTGAAGTTTAAGCTTTGAAATGGATAAATTAAGTCAACATGCAGATGTCAGTTTTATAACATCCTAGTGCGTGCAGTGGCGGCGGAACACCTTCAATTAAGGGGGAGGGGGCACTGCCAACTTTTGGTCCCATTCTTTCCATGCAACGCCCATAGGGCTAATGTTAAAATGCCAAAATCAAAGGGGGGGGGGCACGGTGCCCCAGTGTCCCCCTCGTTCCGCCGCCTATGAGTGCGTTAGTAATTAATACCCAGCTTTTATTTTCCGAACATGTCAAAGTGAGCCAGTACATAAACCGCAAACGATTTATCAACACACACTGCTGCCAAGGTGCCTTCCTGGGAAAAAATCAGCTTCTAAAGCTATTTAAATCTACCAGCACATGCACGTTGGGTGTACCTGGAGGAAACTGGACGTATTTGGAGATTTTGTTCAGAGTCCTGTAGTAAAAGAAGCGAATCTGATCACGGTTGCGGACTTGATCTTGACCAGCCTTGTTCTTCATTTTCTTCTTGGCAATGTAGTTCTGCAGTGCCTGGAAGTTCTTACCGAAGTCATTCAGAGCTTCAAAGAATACCGTCTTATCTGACGGTGACCACTTCTCCCAGGTCCTTTTGCTTTTCTCCGGCGGGCCTTCTGGCTTTTTATCGTCTTCTGTCGTATCTGAAAATCGTACAGATAATAGTCGTCACAGTAAAGACACTCACAGGCACTCAGAATATCGGCAATTTGAACCTCTCACGGATATCGTCTCGTTTGCAATTCGTTTGTTTGTTTGTTGGGGGTTAAGGGCGCGCCGACGGCGAGGTCATTTTGCGCCCATCTCTCGTTGGCAATTCATCTGAGAAACTCATTAACTCTCATTTATCTCATGGTTGTGCGAACAGAAAGCCGCCGAGAACGAAGCACTTAGGCTCGCTTACGTGTCTCACAGCCGGATTCCCGAAAATAAACTGATTAATCAAGTAGCACTATCATTAATGCCCACATAATTTGCCACCTTCACTCGGCGCTGTCTCTACTCCACATACTCTCATTCCGTTGGCGAGCATACCTCTGGCGCGTTTTCGGCAGGCGGAGCGGGCCGGGCTGGGTTTCACGTCCTTGCTCTCGTGCTCTGGCGGCGCCTCGGCCGGCTCGGCGGCCGCCTCCGTCTCTTCGCGCGCCTCCGCCAGCTGCTCGCGCCGCGCGCTGCGCAGCGTCGGCGTGTTGCGCACCGACAGACGGCGCGCGACCGGCGGCTCGGGCGGCGGCGGCGGCGGCGGAGGCGTGGACGGCCGCGGGGCCGGAGTCGGGGGGTCCATCGCGCCGATCACACTGCCGACATGGGTTTCATTATGTGAGGACAACCAAAATATGTGAACAGTGTAGTGCAACTGGGCTTTCTTTTTCATGGGTTTATTTGAGATGATAGCTCACAAACAATAGCTATAATGGAAAAATGCTACACACCAAATGGCAATGAGAACAATGTTGTAAATTTAGCACCTAAGAAACATTGATAATCACAACATATACACCAACTACCATGAGACTGCATTGGTATTACAATTAAATGCTATTTCATAATCACAAATTGATTTTTGTTACATATTTGTATTGCAGTTCATGTTTATGATCCTTTTCAAACAATGGGTAACCAGCTGTGTAAATAACAAATATTTCATTAAAAGGAAGGCAGAGTTAATTTTTTCATCTATTAATAAAAGTCATCAGAAGCCATGCACAAAAATATAATCAGTTGACTGCCCCTAACTTGAAGAACACTAATAAATAATCAGGTAATTCAAGAATTCACAATTGGTTTCTTTAAAAACAAGATTTAAGGGTTTGAACCATTGAAGAGAAGTTGAGAAGCAGCAATTAAAGCTTAAAAAGCATTTGAAGAGGAACATAGCATTGTTCTTTGACAGGTTCTTCACCATATTAGTAGGTACCTTAATATTAGCTTACACTAAGAAGTATCAGAAAAGAACTACAAAGCAAAATCCTTGTATATGACATCCTCAGTCATGCAAGTTAAATGAATGCTAAATTTTTACAAGCTTTGTTCCTTTCCATACCAAACAGGACAGGTTGACTTAGGGATTTCATTGATTCAGGAATATTGAATGTTGCTCTCCAAAAAAATGTTGTGAATTCAGCTTGGCTACAGATGCTTTTGTTCATGTCAGGGGCACACCCAATGATACTACACATTAAACAATGCTATATATTTTCCCATACTGGCTGGTAAAACACTGCACTGTGCTCAACATTGTTCTGGCCTGGCTGGTATGAAAAAGAATATCAGGCAATATCAAAGGTTGCATCTAGAAAATAGGAAAAAAAAACTAAGAATAACTTATACAGGAGAATGCATTACTGCATGAAACAACTGTAAAGCCCAAAAATGAGGTATATAACTGCAAAAACAATTGAAGGTAACAATTCAAACTGATGAAAACTTCAAGTAATTCCAACAATTAGCAGATGCATACAACCAGTATAACGCCTTTTGTGGCGACTAACGGAGCGAGCGAGAGGGTGGGCCTTGCACGTGCGAAATTGCGAGGGGGTACCTCCAACTGACTTGTGCACGGCACCTTACTAATAGGTCTCTAGCGATGTGCCAAATTTGAGCACAATCGGCCCAGCCGTTCTCGAGATCTGGAAGCGGCACCCTGCACGTGCGCACGTGCAAAATGGGTCCCAGCTGACTTGTGCACGGCACCCTACTAACTGCTCCGTAACCGTGTACCAAATTTGAGCGCAATCGGTCCAGCCGTTCTCGAGATCTGGAAACGACCCCTGCACGTGCGCACGTGCAGCAGCACCCCAACTCTGGCACATGGATATGCATTGCCTAGTGGGTGCCTACCTACATGCCAACTCTCAGCGCAATCGGCCCAGTAGTTACCGAGATATTGTAACAATTACAAAAGTGACACCTCTTCGTTTTGCACGTGGCACGTGCATAAGGGGTCACCCACATGCATCGGGAATAGTGCAATACTTGGTAGAAGGAATGAAGCTACCCTACAAAAATTACCGCATGTAAATCGGTCAAGTGGTTGCTGAGATATAAGCCTCGCAAAAGCGTGACCACGGCCGGCCGGCTGGCCGGCCGACCGGCCGCTCATACTCAGAAATTTCCGTTAATCTAAGGAAAGACTACGCTCGCTCCGTAACCAATTCATACTATAGCAAGCACTGCTGCTGCACAGAACACCAGGGGTCAGTTGCTGGTGCACTTTGACTTGAGCTTGAGGCTAAGCAGGGTTACATAAACAAATTGTAGGTACACATTTGTAAGCAAGAACATAGAATACACCAACATCAAATTAAAAAATGCAATCAGTTTCTTAAAACCATTTTAATTGATAAGTAACAGAAGGCAACTACCGCTCGCCGCCATTCAGCGATGGGCTCAGGGCTGAGACGTCATCCCAAAATACAAAGAAAACTAGCACAATTCTGCATCAAAAACAGAATAATTTAACACCAAATTGTCAAGAATTCCTGCCTGATTCAGTAATTCAGACATCCGTGACTCACATTTCAATCGTAAGCAAATACTTCAGCCAAGACTGAGACGGGAAATATGGCGCCAGAACGCGGACAACATGGCAGTTCCGCGGGATTCCGCTGCGGAGGATCGGAAACGGGCACCGGGTCGGGGGGATTGGGGAGTTCGAGAGCGCTCGCTCGAACTCTCAGTTATTTATCCTCCTTCTCTCCAACATTACTGTACAAAATCTTTGACGTCATTTATTCTTCTGGTTTTGATTTGTCAATTGGTCTTCATAGTTCGCTATAATTATATTGTTTGCTTTGTTTGAAAAAAGCTAAATGTTAATTTCTTTTTAAATCAACATAAATATACTTGATTGCCGAAGATAAGATGATTCTATGAATCTGACTTTGCCAAAAACCCATTTCAACCTTTTTGATTTGTGATGTCATTTATTGATAATTGCTGTCTGCTATTCATCTTTCCAGCTTATTTCCCTTGATCCTGAAACTTGCGCGAATGGTACAAATGCAGCGCAGAGTAAGCTACTTCCCAGTAAAAGAGCAAATGACGTTTATATCAAATTTTGATGCTTTTTGATTTTATTTTAATTGTTTTTGAATCTCTAAAATAGTTAATTTACGTCGTTTTACCACATTAGTTCACACATTCCTGTAAAAAGTGCAAATTTTTTTAAAAGATCCTCACAAGTTAATTTGATGTCATTTATTTTGGTATTAAAATACGACCTGCGAGCTACTTATCATCCAAGTAATGGCCCAAACATTTTAGGACGTGTTGGTGCTGCGCAGAGCTGAATTAAATTTCGGGCTCTGGTATTAACTGGATAATTCGCCAGCTGACGCCGTATGGTGGCGCTAGTGGAGCAGCACCATATGACGTCAGCAGAAAACACCGTGAGCAGCTATGAAATGGGAGCGAGCACCACGGAAATATCGAAAGGTGATGGACATGTACTGACTCTGGTCATTCAAGTACCACCAATACCATACAAAAACCATATAATATCATCAAGACTGATTCTGGAATCAATTCGTTCGGGTATTTAAAACACATAAAAAATGTTTGTTACCAAATTCTGAAACAGTATAAGGATATTCTTGTTCCTTACTTTTACCTTGTGGAGTACTTTTACAATACCTTTTACTTGCTTTCTAGTATGCCCATCACTATCTCAGAATCTGGATTGCAACGCTGTAGGAAAACTTTTTTTCATTTGTCATTTCTTCCACTTTTGAGCAGTGATAATTTATTTGGTTTTATACATTAAATAATGAAGACGGCTCCTAGCTTCTTAGGGATCTGCAATGGCCCAGAGAGCAAAATCAGATATTTTCTAGAAACTTGAGGCCACTATTTTCTTATATGCTAGATAATATACAAATATTGACATGTAAAGAATGATACGGGTTTATAATTCTGCAGAAATATAAATTTAAAGTATTCAAAAAAATTTAGGAACCGTTTTAAAATCTTCCATAATGACTTCTTTCAATACAAGGTGGTAGCAATTTCAGTTAACAATAAAGCAGCACATGGCAGTACCTTGAGGCGCGCTGGCAGTTGCTCCAGGTGGCGCTCGGCACACCCCGCCAGATGGCGAGCCGGTCTCGAGGTCGCAGGTTGCAGACACTTTGTCAAGGCGGCGGTTCACGGCCCCGAGCTGCAGGGCGCTGCGCTGCCATGCACTGCTGCATGGTTGAGCTGCGATGATCCATAACCAATCGGCACCTGCAGGCGGCAACTGCAATTCGATCTTCGAGATGTTCTCTGTTCCCCGACTTTCCCTTTTCGTTGTACCGGGTGAAGTGAATATTCTTTGAATATTCTTCTGACAGTCAGTCTTTAGTCCTACATTATGTTGTCAATCAGATTAAATTAGTTCAAAAACCGTCGTAGTCTGTCTCATTCGCAGTCTACATCTCCACATGCGCACCCATACATGCTCAAAAGTTTCACTACGTATGTACACTGCAGTGTACCCTGATGAAAAATGTTTTGCTGAAATCAGAGACACATCCCAAGGTAGGCCATAGTGTCCATGGACATATATTTAAGTCAAAACAGATCAAACAGATAAACACAATTCCAATCATCAAGTCAACCAGCATCGACAATCTGCACATAAGTTCTAAACCTATTGCAAGACTACTTTGTATTCAAACTTTGTATTGCAGAAGGGTGGAAGCTGCATGGAATTATGCGACAATTTCAGCGTGCATCCACGCTCGAAAGAGCAGGGTTAATTGTAACAATGTCAATACCATAACAATAACGTAATTGTAGGTGTTGTGATTCGGTTGTCTCTTGTCTGTGCTGGCCATTGCGCGGGCGGTCCAGCGGCGGAACTCGGCTTCGCCGCCGTGGCGCGCTGGCAGTTGCTTCTTCCTCTTCTTCTGCATCCCACCGCCAACCCGCTCAGGGGGGCGGCGGGTCGAACGGCGGCTCGGCCCGCCCAACATCCTCGATGAAGGTGACGACCTTCGTCGCCGGGCCGCCGAGGACGTCGACCAGGCGAGGGTCGACATCCCAGCGGCGGCGGCGGGCCGCCTCATAGGCCGGACAATCGGTCAGTAGGTGCGCCGCGCTGTCGGGCTCCACGCACGCGGGGCATTCGTCGTTGGCTGCCGGGCCAATCTTGTGGAGCGTGTCACGGGTCAGCGGTGATGTGCCGGTCCTCAGCTGGGACAGCGTCACCGACCCCCAGCGCGCCAGGGAGTCGTGGCCAGGCGTGGGGTCCGGGTGCGGGTGGGCAGCGGTTGCCCTCTGTCGCGACAGCTCCCGGACATGGCGCGTGACGGCGGCCCGCGCACTCGACAGGTCGATCGGTGCGCTGTCTTGGTCGCCCGCCGTGGCCTCGCCAGCCAGGCGGTCGGCGGTTTTGTTGCCGTCCAGCCCGGCATGGCCTGGCACCCACTGGAGCACCGTCTCGGTGCCGTTCTCGGCGAGGGTGCTCAGCACTCAGCAGCCTCCACACCTCGGCGGCCAGGGCCATGGTCTGGTTAGCTGGGCCGCGGCCGAGTAGTTGGAGCCCAGACCTTGAGTCGGTGAGGAGGCGGACCGACTTGGTCGATGCCAACTCCCCGTCCTCCAGGCCGGCCACAGCCGCGAACGCCTCGCGCATGGCGGTCAGTTCTGCTCTCAGGCTGGAGCAGACCGCCCCTGCAGGAGCGCGCACGGTCTCTTCTATGTTGAGGTGGTGGAACTGGATCAGCGCCTGCACCGCCCTGTTCTGTCCCGCCGTGAGCCGAGCCGTCCGACCAGATAGTGACGTCCGGGTGCGGGAGCTCTGCAATGGCTCACAGGGCAGCTTCCCTGCGGACTGCAGGCGGGTCCGACCAGCGGGTGACCACGGGCAGGTCCACCCTGAAGGTGATGCCGCCGCGGTGGCCCAGCTATGGCGGGTCGCAGCTGTAGAACGCCGAACCTGTAACACAATAGAATTGCAATTGTAACAAAGACCTGCATGGTCAGCACACATCTGCAGTGACTGTCATCCCAAGTTGGTATGAATTGGAACAAAGTTGGGTCATGGTAGCAGACGTAACACAAGCTGTTGTGATATGCCATACCGTAGGACTAGGTCGTAGGTTGTAAATTTTAGGTTTAAGGCTGTAGGTTGTAGGTCAGGTTAGGTAAGGTTTGGTTAGAAAGACCCATTCTCGTGCATCAGGCAGCTTGTGCTACACCTACCTTACCAATACCTAATTTGAATTCCTAAAATTGATGGCAAACAGGCTTTTTGTATAACAAGTGTGGTTAATTGTTCTAATCCCCGCTGCAATGTGAGGGTGACTGCTTTCCTACAATCACAATATTTAAATTCATATAGGTAGGTGTTAACATGTTCAGAAAATGATACAAAATATGACACAATTATAGCTGCAACTGGATAATTGATACCAACCTCTACTTAAAGTTTCTGCAGCCTTATAACCTCACAAATGACTAAATTGCCAAAATAAATCCCTTAGTACAATAGCTTGACTCTAAAATAACAGAACTTTTCCATGCAGACCCTGGAATGGAGGGTTTATGAAAAGTAACAAAAATAAACATTCACTAATATCAATATGTTGTTATAAATTTCATATGTAGCATGAGCGCCAATACTGCCTTCATTTACAATTTTGCTACTGTTTTCCACTCACAAACGCTGCCCTCCGTGGACAGCAGCAGCAGCAGTGAAACGTCACCCGTAGTGTGACATCATCACCCATGACGTAATGGAAATCCAGTTGTTACCAAGGCCCTAAATTTCGATCGTGTAGTACCTAGTTACGGGTGTTAATGGCAATATATTTGCGATATCAATATAGAGTAAAAACTTTCATTCATTGATTATTGTTATCATTTTCATAACTGCTGATAGCAGCGTCCAGAATCTACAGTGTCTGTCTAAAAGTCAAGTCTTAAAGTCAAGGTCAGTGCACAGTAGGTGGGTTTCATTTTGAATGCAAAATAGTTCGTGTTTCATAAAACTGCAAATTGAATGCTATTGCACCAACTGTTTATGGACTTTAAAAATTATTTGACATACCAATGCCAGTCACCGACTCACCAACCATCACCTACTGTTACTGCAGGGCAATCAAAGGCTTGCAAGGTACCTACCTAGGTAGTAAAACATGTTGATGTTGACGGCCTGCCTGGAAGCAAAGATGTTGACCATTATTTTGCGTGTTTGCAGTTTCTGCCTACCAATATACTGCAATGGAGAAACCGCCACCACTGCCACCAAGGGCCAGTGGCCACCAGCAGTTTCTGGAAGATCTGGAGAGAGCTAAAACTCTTAGTCTTGAAAGCTTCCGACAGGAAAAGCGCAGGCAGGCTGAAAAAGGTGGGTTACTTTCTTGACATCAAACATAGAATATATGACTTACAACTAAGTATACAACACAACTACAGTCTCAGATTGAAAGAGCATGGTAGGTATTTTCATTTATTTTGTACTAGTGACTGGTGAGTCACTTTTTAGTTGTCCTTGGAATGGACCTATCCTATGTCTATTTTTCCCTCGAGCATGGTTCCGGAGCATTTTTTTATATTCAAGCACATCAAGTTTCTGTGTCTGGCGGCTGGCCTGGCCAAATATCCTGCACCTTGACCTCTAATGGCTGACTGGAAAAAAATGCATGCTATGCCAAATATGTCCAGTATTGCGCCAAAAATTTCAGTGCGCATCCATCATAAATTCACATGTGCCAGTGCTTGACAGCCACAATATTTTTTTGCGCATGGCTGCTGCCAAATTTTTCACATGGTCGATCTATCAGGAGATCAATATTTGTGAATCTGCTGCCGTGAATCACACACTCATCCGGCCCGAATATGCTGCCCTGGCAGTAAATTCACCGAATGTCTGTCTACCAGCAGCAGATTCAGAAATTTGCTGTCCTCCGATATGCTGCTTATACTAGCAGTGGCTTTTTTGAAAATATGCAAGCATGACCTTTCCTCGATATTGAATGAAAAAAGTGCCAAAAAGTGTACTTTATTGGTAGAACATTTTTGTCATTTTAGTGTATTTTTTGGCACTTTTTTATTCAATATCGAGGAAAGGTCATGCTTGTATATTTTCAAATAGCTATTACAATGTTCCTCGCACAAGCACTGAACTCCATCAATAGCAGCGGCTTTGTCGAATGGCTGTCTACCAGCACCGGCTCGGGCCGATATCGCAGACAGGCGCATTGGAGAAATGCACTCTCGTGCTCATGGTACCAGCCCCGTGGGGCGGTTAAGCCGGTTCTACTGCGATGTTTTTTTTTGCAGGGGAGTATGACTATTGTGTTTCTAAGGCTAAGAACAGCTCACTGCATCTCCTTGGCCCTTCAGTGTAAGGCCTGATCGAATGGCCACGGGTAGCGAGACACCCTGAACACATCGCACCACCAATTTTTGCGACCCTAAATTTCCGACCGGGAACGCTCTGACTAGAATCTGGATGATATAACCTCGTTCGGTATGTTTGCACATGTGCTTTATGGAACAGTGGATTAATTAAGGTGCAAATAAGTATCCGATTTACGGGGTAAATCATGCTGACATTTCAGCGCAAAATCACTTGCGCCGAATTTCGGTGCATGAGGGTCTCACGGGCGTCCGCCTCCGGCGTAGTGTATGGATGTTTTCCAGTCTGGCTCCAGCGGGATACAAGGTTTTATAGAATGACATGACATGTTACATCACTGGATTGGTATACGTATGGCTTACGCTACATATGTAGGGTGCTTGAAATGATGTGATCGTTTTGACTTTCATCAAGCATCTTATATTGATAATAATATGAATGAATTAAAGTCTCTATCCCTTCACTTGACCTAGCTGTGTATTATGGTTGCCCTCTGAACATGCATGTCAACTTTATTTTCGACCGAGAAACAATCACATTGCAGGCCCCAGTGTGACTCCCTTCTAAAACGATGGCGGTTAAATGCTGAAGTCTCGTCAACTTTATGATTAGAGATTAACATCTCATCTTGTGTCTCCTTTTTTATACATCGCTAAAAGTATGCATGTAGGCATGTATGTATGTATAATGTATGTATGCATTGACATCCCAAGCCTTCCACATATAGGGTGGCGATTATAGCTTAGTGCTGAAGTACTCGTAGGAAACTAACTTACATTGTATGTTATGCCCCCCCCCCCCACAAAACCTGTTGTATAGTTCAGGTCAAATATACCTGTGTATTTGCAATGCAATTAAGACGAACATTCGCCGGCCGCTTATCTATTGAAAGGTGATGATTCATCGTCCCCCTGAACAGTGAATGCCTATCGAATTTTTGTGTCAGGTCCCTTCAGCCTCGGTAGCATATCATATCTACGCTATTATCTGCAATCAATGATATTGCTAGCGGTGCCGATATCTTTGATCAGCGTAATCTGCGATTTGATACGTTCCACTATCTAGAGTGCACCAACACTGAGGTTACGCCAGCTCCTTGTTGCGTTCCTAGAAGAAATGGTGCTATTGTCTAACCGGTAGCCGCATGATTGCAGGTCAAACGAAAGGTTACTACGAAGCGGTTGTCTTGACCAGCCTTCTCATGGGCGCTACCGCCACCTTTCACTAATTTTCCTTTAGATCTTGACACGAACAGTGGTTGGCTGATGTATTTGTTACGCACCGACACAATCTACATACATTTGAACATCAACAATAGGTGACATTAATAACCAAACACGCGCTATTTGCACCCAAATAAACCCGTTATGTTATCCGGAATGCCGCTGGTCTCCGCTTTTCGTTCCGTGCGTGACCTGTCGGCACGTGATGGGGACACGGAGGAGGGGGGGGGGGGGTCAGCTGCCGTCATTCTGCCCAACTGACGTGACATACCATAGCACCGATGTCCAGCACGCTTGCAACTCTATACGGTCGGTGTAACCGGGACCTGCCGCGCAGTGTATGCGGCACACAGTGCGGTGGCCCGGCAGCGTTCGGTTGTAATGGAGCGGACCACTGTGCCACGTCCAGACCTGGCCTGAGTGGTCTCGTTCAGGACTTGTTTGTCATTGAGGCGAGTGACATTGAGTCGAGCGGTGGTTGTTCCAGGCCGGTGAAGTTGCAGCGACTGTTGTTGTGTCGGTAAGCTCGTGAAGGGCCCGTGCGCGGCTATCTTCGATCAGCTGTGCTAATTGTCGTGCCGTGAAGTGAGCACTCAGCTGGTCGCACCCGGAAAGGGCACGGCCAACAGCTGGGGTTATTGAGTCGGTCTGGTGATTGGTGACCGGTGATGGTCGGGTTAGTGACACTGTCCGGTTGGTGCTCAAGTCTGACGCAGTGCCGTTCGCTAGGGCCGGTGTCGCCCGAAGGTTGGGACGGTTAGATCCGGGGAACGGACGATTGGCTGGAGGAAAAGATCGGTGAATTTATACGGTGATTGTACACGATGCGGTATTCTGGTTTGGCGATATGCTGTTTTTGTTGTGTCTCCGAGTCCGCCGGGACGGTTGGCAGGCAGTTTGACCGGTACCATTCAGGGAAATATGACGCCTGAACTGGATGTGCCATGTGTGGTGGTCATTGTTCGGAATACGGAGGGCGGGCGAGTGGCTCACCACCTGTGAGTTTGCTACAGTTGGTGTGCGCAGCGTGTTGTTAGTGGTTGGTGGTCACTACGCTGCTGTCAGTTAGGGTTTGTGTTCGTGTTTCTTTGTGCTGCTTGTAGCGTACTGTTGGTGTTCGCCGTTCGGTGTCCTGACTGACGTTGTATCTGTTCCCCACAGCCGCACCGCCTCCGCCGACCGGTACCGACGTGAAGCCCCGGCCGCGTCCCACCAGCTCGGCGTCACTACCACGCCCGCCGGACGCCAGGCCGAGTCTGCCCCCGCGCCGACCGGTGGGCCGCGCGGCGTCGGCCGCCGCCGCGCACGGGCCGCCGCTGCCGCCGCGGCTGTACGGAGAGCCGGAGACGGCCGACAGCGGACCGGACCTGATCCAGCTGGAGGCGCCCGAGCCGCCGCCACCGCCTCCCGAGCGGCCCGCTGCCGGCGCCCTGGGACCCGAGCGGCTGGCTCAGCTGTACGGCGGGGGCGCCGCCGGGCCGCCGCTGCCGCCGCGCGTGCCGGCACACCCGCTGCACTCCTCCATACCGTCAGCTCTGCCGGCCGTACCTCCGCTCCTGAACGGTGCCTGCGGCCCGGCGTCGGCCGGCCGGCCCCTCTCACTCGCGCTGCCCTCAGTACCGACCGCCAGCCCGGCTACCACCCCGGGGTCAGCAACGACCGACCCCAGTTTCGAGTCGCTCCGGGTGCTGCTGAGGAAGCCGCCGTGTTCCAATGGTAACCTGATAGACCTGGGCGAGCCGGCGCCTGACCATTCCGCGGTGCGCCGCTCCGTACTGGAGGTGTTCGACCCCCTGTCAGCGCCGCCGGAGTCCGCACCGGCTGGCGCCACGGGCGGCGCGGAGGACGCGGAACTCTCCGACCAAGTGCGCGAACTACTAGCCATCAAGGCGTGTACGACGGCAGACGAAGACGCAGCGACCAGCTACTACGAACAGTCGGATCCGTTCCAGTACATGTACGGTCGGACGGGCCCGGCCGAGTCGCTGTACGAACCGCTGGCTACCCGGGCACCCACTGACGAGAGTGATGGCGAGCCGCCGCCGCTGCCGCCGCGACAGCAGCGTGCCGGTCCAATGACGCCCGAGAGACCGCCCGGCCGGCCCGTCGAGCTGCCCGCCAGTCGAATACAGGCGTACAAGGTTAGTGGACAGACTGCTGGTATGAAAATAGCTTTACTGGCATGGATGGGAGAAGGGAAACAGCGTGGGTTGACAGTGGGGCTCAAAACCAGTTTGGAAAGGGGGACGCGTGCATGCTGATGGCTTGTGGTCATATCTGCAAGTCGATTGGACTGTGGTACGTGGCACAGTAATTGAAATTCAACGCTATCGGGAAACCGTGTTGACATCGTCATTTGCAATTTTATCGAACTTTGGGAATATCAACGGGGAAACCCTTTTCTTGGCGATGTGGATTCAAAGCAATGTGCTCACTTGCTTCCCATGCAGGCAGCTACCAAATGCCATTGTATGTCTAGCTTTTCGTTGTGTCATTAATAAACACATGGCCAAGTCTCTAATCTAGAAAACCCTACCTTGATCTTTAAGAGAAATTATCGATATGTTGTTCTGGTCGTTTCAGCAGCGGCAGCGGTCCTCGGATAGCCTAATATCGTCGTCCACCGGCATCAAAGTGCGCAAGACCAGGGGTCTTTCCTGTGATAGTGACATTGTTGCGTTCTGTGATATGATCAAGGAATTGAGAGGTGAGTGCTGTAAGGCATTGGGAGGTAGGTGCGCTGAGCTGAGTGCTGGGCTGGAGTGGGGCAGGGGACCCTTTGGCCGCGCTGAAAACAGCAGACAAAGCAGTGCAGTCGGATGCAAGTATAGGAACAGACAGGTGTTCGTCTCGCGTTATCGAGAGGTAATTTCGGTGACTGCATCGGGCTCAGGGAGGACAATTATTGAATGGCATCTCACGTATTCGGCATGTTATTTTTTTTTATACGAGGAAAATGTAATATATCGTGCACTTATATATAACAATATTCTTCGAAAGAGCATTCCGCATTATTTAGTTTATCTTCGAAAACTTCTTTGGGTTACTTGTCACTAATGCAGGTACTTCAATGTAACAATATCTATGATTTTGCTCGATCCAAATGACTTCCTTCTCAAACTATCCTCTACAGCCTCGCCTTGGGTTGATTTTTTTTGCCGTGTGTTGTAGGCTCGTACCCGGCGGACGACAGGGCGACCAACCCGGGCCTGATTACCAGCGCCACGATAGAGACCAGCCAGCAGCTGGACGCCACGGTGAAGCTGATGATACACCACCAGTCGCGCACATCCCCTGTCTGCTTCACCTGTGATAGTGAGTGGTGGCTTAGACGTCCTGGGACGGCCAGTGAACATTGCTGAACAAAAATGTGCATTTGCGGGGCGTTATGGTCCCGGCTAGGGGTTGATAGTCTTTTTGGAGTCATGCATGTCAGTCGACCTGGGTAAGGCATTGTCATGAAGCAATCAGCTGATTGTTCATGGTGAGATATCTGTTTTTGGTATAGTATAGCATCATTGTGAATTGGCAACGAGCGCCCTGGCAGCTTGCTGGGTGTCATAACACGTCATAACTTTACGCCCATTTTCCGTCACCCTCTTTGCAGTAACTACAGTATGCTCTGTTTTCCGTATTGTCAGTCTAGATGCCATGTGTTTTGACGCCGGTTTACCTACCGTTCCTGTATCACTCACTGAATGTCGTCAGTCTGACGCGTTTACGCCAAGTAGCGAATTGCGCAACAGTTCTGATACCGGCTCTTGCATTGCCGTCTTGACCAGGGCGCTCAAATGCTGATTAGGTTTGCAGAGCTGCCTTGGTGAACGGAAACGGGCTGAATTTTTATTAGCGGCCGAAGAATAATTATTCTTCGGCCGCTAATTATAATTATAATTAGCGGCCTATAATTATAGTTATAATTATAATATAATTATAATTATAATTATAATTATAATTATAATTGGCTAATTATAATTAGCCATGTACATACATACTATGTTTTCGTAACCGATCTACCGTATATCGTTTGTTTCTATTCATGATATTGTTGGTAGTACATGAGGTAATATAAAGCTTCGTTCAACCGTTCTTCACCCTAGTGACACTGCAAACATTTAAAGAAGAGCTGTTGACTTTCCAATGTCGCCGAGACTTCAGGCTTCATGTCGTGCCTCAATGATCCGTCTGTTACGATCTACTTCCCAATGAGCTATTCTAACCTGTGGTCTCACAATTCACATCCCCATTCGATTGGTACTCTCACATTCACCCTCTCTCTCTCTCCCTCTTTCTCTCTCTCTTTCTCTTTCTCTTTCTCTCTCTCTCTCGCTCTCTCTCTCTCTCTCTCTCTCTCTCTCTCTCTCTCTCTCTCTCTCTCTCTCTCTCTCTCTCTCTCTCTCTCTCTCTCTCTCCCTCTCCTCTCTCTCTCTCTCTCTCCTTCTCTCTCTCTCTCTCTCTCTCTCTCTCTCTCTCTCTCTCTCTCTCTCTCTCTCTCTCTCTCTCTCTCTCTCTCTCTCTCTCTCTCTCTCTCTCCTCCCCCCACCCACAGTTTCCAGCACAGTCGACCTGGTGATCATGCAGACAGTCTGTGCCCTGGAGGCAGGACTCGAGTCCACAGACCCCTCCGACTATGTCCTGCGTGTGTGTGGTGCCGCCGAGTACCTCACTGCAGAGAGCGCGCTGCATGATTACCAGTACGTGCAGCGGTGTATCAAGTACGAGGAGGATGTGCGACTGTCGCTGATACATACTGAACAGCTCACACTGCCGCTGCAGAGGACGGTGAGAGGGGAGGGGAGAGGAGGGGGCCGTGGAGGGAGGGTGAGGGAAATGGCGAGGGGAAGCCTGATGGAAGGTTTGTTAAGGGGTGTTTTAAGAGGCCAAAGGACTGAAACGCTTGGGCAGTCTCAGGTGGGGTGACAGTACCGGTTGTGTTAGCTTGATTTGGGATGAGTTTCGAGAATTACAATGTTCGCGACAGTCGACGCTTTATTTCAACATTGTATCTTATGGGCACTGTCATTTTCACCTTTTGTATAACACGCATCAGATGTTCCCATAAATAAAAAGGTCGTTTTTTTTAGAACCCTGCTCGGCATGGGCCAAGACTCTGGCGTTACGACACGAGAACCATCAGCAGTCAGCCTTGTTTAAAGGGACCCTCCCACCTTCAAAAAAGTTTATGAATTGGCATGAAAGTGATGTCGCTCGGTTCAGAAAGAGCGAAAACGAATATCTACCAAATTTCATCGGAAAAATATTCACCGGTTTTCAAGATATTAGACTTTTACTTTTGTTTACTTTTTGGGATCTCTGCTGTTCCTAGCGACTTTATTTGGAAGCAATAGTTTGGCAGTTGAAAGTGGGGCACTTGTTGCGCGCAAAGCAGCATATACCACCGCGTGCTACAAAACGTTTTAGTCAAACATTTAAAAATCGTTAGATATCTGCGCTGACGTCACACATTCAGAGGGGTATTCCTATGCATTAGCCCCTCTGAATCAAAATGCTGCAATTTTGAAATTCAACATTTCCGATTTAAGGCATTTCTCGATGTTGTGAGTGCTGAAACCGGTAATTGTGAGCCAGGGACCCCATTTTGGCTATCTCAACTCAAATCTAATGTTAAGGTGGGAGGGTCCCTTTAAACCCCTGCCCCTCCCTCATGCCAACAGCGTCAGGACGACATATCTGACCTGGACCTGCGACCTGAGGACCTGGTGCCACCCTCTACAATCGACCCCGTCACATACGACAACCTGCGAATACTGCTCGGTGAGCAATATTTAATGCTGAATGCTTTTTATTTGATTTTTCCTTGCATTTTCTCGGCTGTCAGTGGCCGTCCGCCTTCTAAGTACGGGGTCTATTATCCAACTTTGTTTTTAGGGTGCTATGAGTCATTAGCTGCTGTTCTCTTCTTCCACCTACTCTCATATTTCCATTGGCTGTCGTCGTTTAGCCGTCGGCTCTCTTATTTCACTTCATTCCGATCCATTTCCTCGGGCTGTTTATTGGGTGGGATGGGGGCGGGGGTGCCGTTGATAGCCGGCTCTCCTATTTCTTTTCCCGGAATGTCCAGTGTCTCTAATTACCATTCGCTAATTTATGGACCGTTATTTGACAAATGTTTCTGCTCTTGGACAGAGTGCGTGGAGCGGGAATGTGATCAGCTGCGCCGCACAGCCGAGGACTCGAGTCAGTCGAGCGTTCGACCGGACCGACTAAGTCAGGCAGTGAAGGCAGTCTGTACTCAGCTGGGCCAACTCCAGACTATAGAGATCGCCCAGGCGCTGGACGACGTAACAGCTACGTGCCAGCGGATTTCAGAGGAACCGGTTAGTCCGATAAACTAGCGACCCGGTTGGTGCCACCGGCCTCCGTGGCGCAATTGGTTAGCGCGTTCGGCTGTTAACCGAAAGGTTGGTGGTTCGAGCCCACCCGGGGGCGGCCGGAATCGTTTTCGCTCTCCGCCTGCTGACAAAACGCGTGTTATCCCGTTTCATTGCCATGCCCGTTCATTATCATTCCATGATATTTATCGTTTTCGGTCCCGAGAGCATCCCCTCCCCTCCCTGGCGCTGTGCGCCCCACTCTCCGGGCCTGTGTATGCCGGTCGCCCTCCCTCCCACCGGTCATAGTAAGCCGAAGACCAATTTCAACGGAAGTCGGCCTGACTAGTGACTGGTGAAACCGTTAGCGCGGCTGGTTGGCTTGTCGAGTGCTAATGAGACGGGCTCAGCCGCCGTGGTGTACCATCTGGAAGACTTTTTTCAGCCCATTGGTCTCTTCGGATTGCCCTGACCTACCATGGCACTGGAATGGCCTTAACCCTGAAAAAGCTCGCGGTACCTTGACCGCAAGCCTTAACCACGGTGTCTCACCGTAGCGTTATGTCTCGCGTTGAACCATAACGGTGCTGCTTTCTGGCAGTGACGGTGGGTCCTATATATCTTACCGTGACATCGTCCTATATATCTTACCGTGACATTACGCATCTTTTCTCCCCGTCATGGCTGTAAGTACCACATCTAACCGCTACGGTACTCGTAACTAACCCCGCCTCTCCCTGCCCACAGGTCTCTGACCGCGCCGACCTGCGTCTGAAGCTCTCCACTCAGCTGGGACCAGTGCAGGACGCCGTCCGTCTACTGCTCATCATGTACTGCCAGGCGTTCCGGACCGACTTTTCAGTCGTACAAACCAGCACGGATATCGGTGAGTTCGTGCCGCGGCGTACTGTGTGTACTGTGTCACAGACTTTTCTATATATAGAGAAGTCTCTGTATATAGATATATCTCTTTATATAGATGTCTCTATATATACTAGAAGTCTGTGACTGTGTGTATTGTGTGTGCTGTGTGTACCTCGGTGTACAACAGGCAACTGTGGGTTGCTGGGTTTCTAGTCGGGCGCTTTAGCTCATGTAGGGTGTCGAGGGCGAGAGTGCGGGCAGTAGAGCGTGTATGATGGTGGGAACGACTCTCATATACCGCCGACACAAACTGTGTTAGCCCGCGGCGGTGGGTCCGTTGGTTGGCCGTGTGGCTATATGGGTTGTAAAGTGACAGTTTTTGGTCAGTTGGGCGCTGACAATGGGATGCGGTTATAGGGAGAAAGCTTAACATTGAGACGGAACTGTGAGATTTTATGCTCCATACCTTTCTGTTCACTAAACTTATTTTCAGGCTGATGTGTACAGTACACGTTCGTAAGTCATAAGCGACACGGCAGCATTATATCGTACAGGTAAATGATTAGTATAGAGGATCCGCTGGCCATTGCTGCTTTTAACCCCGGCATACAGACTGCTTTACGCCCTCCTCCGTACTATATGCCCACAAACCTCTAATTACCTCTCCCCCCCCCCCCCCCCAGTGGAGCGGCCCCTGACCGAGGTTCTCGACACGGTTCTAATCCGCGTGTCGGCGCTACACCGATTGCGGCACGACAACCGGTACGAGCAGTACGTGGTGACCGCCCAGCTGTACCACGGCTCGCGGGCCGTCTCACAGACAGTGCCCACAGCGCCCGTGGCGCCCACCAAACACCTGTTCAAGTGGTGCAGCTTCAACGCTTGGTGAGTCTGGGAACAGGCAATTGTCCGGTATGATGAGGTGGCATTGGGTTGATTTCAGGTGGTTTCAGCCTTCAATTCTGAGGTTGTTATGACAATTATCTGTTGAAAATGAGTTGAGCTGGGTTTCGCTGTTGGTGCTCACTCATTTGTTGGCGTCCTCGGAAAGATATTCCACTCTGAATTCGATGCGGACAGTCGCGCGTTTCACTTATATATTTTAGGCTACGTCTTTCAGTCTTGTAAGACTTCAAAAACTAATTCCCAACATGTCTAATTACCACCTAGCGTCCTCGGTCCTACCACCACTTCATTGAAATGCTGACACTTTTACGCTTCTCCGATGTGGAACATCATCTAGCAGCCTGTCTGTCTCCTGACATTTCTTTGCGTCTCGTGCGTTGGGATGGAGCTGGCTTATATAGCGCTCTTCTGCTTGACATTGGAGGCAGTCTTAAGTCTTAACTACCCCTCCCCTCCTCTCTCCTCCAGGCTGGAGTTCACGGACGTGGCGCTGTGCTGTCTGCCCCGCGAGGCCCGTCTGGTAGTGACCGTCAGCGGGCTGATGCCCGAGCAGCCCGCCGATGCCAAGGATCCGGTCCGACTGCACCAGGAGGAGGTCGGCTGGGCCGCCCTGCAGATGTTCGACTTCGAGGGGTAAGGAATGGGAGCAGACGCCGAGGGGAGGGGAGGATAGCGGTGGTGTGGAGACAGTAGATTGAGAGGAGACAGTGGGCGGTTCGGGACGCGCGCCTTTTGATTACAGTCGCCACATATTGTGTCAAGTGTTGTGAGCTGTAGTTCGCTTCACTCAATGGCTATAAGAGCTGAAGTGTGAAATTTTCGTATCGTTTAATTTTGTGTTGCTGTTCTCATTTAGCCCACGGTCACGACTCACTCATGTATCACCTTCCGTGCCACTCGTCTCGCCTTAGGATCCAAGCCGACGATGATCCATGCTGCCTCTGTAACTGAATTGTTCTGGCCAGGGCTCTGACAAGACATGCTGAGGGCGGGTTCGTCCTACCGCTGTGACTTACCTGTCGTGATTCTACCTATAGGATCCTGGCCGAGGGCGGGTACGTCCTACCGCTGTGGCCCCCTGAGGCGATGAAGGAGCTGGGCCCGGCCCCGTTTCCCGGGACACACCCCAGCGCGGACAAGTGCACCGCAATCAGTGAGTAGAGCGATGTTGTGACGGCTGAGGATGGACTTTGGACACTAACATTCACGTCCAGTGTTCACAAAGACAGAACCGTTTAAGGGGACTTCAGATTCTGTCGCCTGCTCGTGAAATTTGGAGCGTAACTAAACTTATGTTGTATTTTAGCTTGAGCTCTTGTGATGCATCTGTCTCGGAGGTCATTATTCGCAATTATGAAGATAAAACTCTACTCTCAGCATATATACAGACTGGTTTGGTCTTGGTACCGTTGCTTTGAAAGCTAGGGCTCACTGATGGGCTCCTTCACTTTTCCCAGCGGTGGACCTGCCGTCGATGTGTTCCCGGGCGCGGGTTCGCTTCCCGCCCGTGGAGAGTAACCCGACCAGCTCTCGGAAGGAGTTCTCCTCTCTGGATGTGGACACGCAGACGCTGCTGTTGGATACACTGGAGACAGACCTGTTCACCCAGTGAGTAATGAACTGACGGAACTGCTGAGCTAGACTGATGAGGGTTGATAGTTTAGTCACGGGTAGACTTATCATGTAATGAGTTACTGGAAACGCTGAATGAGTTGGCTTGAGGAAGAAGTGTCGAGAAGAGCTAACTCTTCTCGGATATGTCAACAGTGTGAACAGCGAAAGAAATGTCAAGTCATAGACCTCTGTATATCTGGACTCATTCGGCCCAGCCGTTCCCGAGATACTGTCTCGCCATTTTCATAAACATCTCCCACGCGCCACATGCTGGTGCTCCCCCGTTACACCGTATCGGTTCGGCGGATGATCTCCTTCATTTTTAATGAATAGGGCTATGCGGTGGTGAAAAATTGATGTAGTAACTAGGTCAACTGACTCTCGAGTTATAAGCGTTTACTCTAAGGGCCGTTGTGGTCATGGCCAGATTTTCTGTGTCCAGTCCAGGTATACAGAGGTCTATGGTCAAGTAAGATTATCGGCTCTCCATCAGTGTCGATCAAGTCCACTGACCAGTTGGCATTTACCATCCTTTTTGTAAACGCTGCCATGCCCTGGGCCCTGGTAGCACTGGTGACCTGATGACTTGATGAGTGATAACCTTCATACACTGCTGCACCAGTGCGTGATGTAAATAATCCGCACCCTCCCTCGCCTCAGAGTGCCAGCAGACCGTCGTGAGATCCTGTGGGACCGCCGCCACTACCTGTACGATGAGCCCGCCGCGCTGCCCCGGGTGCTCCTGGCCGCTCACAGCTGGGAGTGGGCCTGCCTGCCCGACCTGCACTCGATGGTACAGAGCTGGGGCGACCTGGCGCCCGTGGACGCCATCCAGCTCCTCCTGCCCAGGTGGGAATCACGACAGAGCTGGCGAGCTGAACGGATTACAATCTGCTCCGTTTAGATACTCAGTGATTTTTTTTTTCAGTGACGTAGTCACCACTGTCAGCCATGTTATTATAATACGTTGCTTGCGTTTTTAAACATTGTATTGGCCAATTGGTTAGGATGAGCACTGATAGACCGCGCGACCTGAAATTCCTCTCTATCGTAAAAAAACTTACTTTTGTTTGCATAACAGCACCATTGCAGTTTTAACACCATTGAATACTGAAGTCCCGTAGTGCCAGTTGACGCATGTTTTTATTCGTCTTATGCCTCTGTTAACCCGGTGTGGTGACCCGTGTGCAGTTTTCCGGACGTGGTGGTTCGGAGGAAGGCGGTGCGGTGGCTGCAGTCGATCACCAGTGACGAGCTGGTGGACTACCTGCCGCAGCTGGTGCAGGCCGTCAAACACGAGGCCTGGGATTGCTCCACATTGGCCAGGTGAGGGCGCGTGACTAGAGGACAGACAAGCGTCCTCATAGATAGGCAAACATTGACAGCCTCAGGATGGCCAGGACATTAACGATAATATACTCGTATACGCGCTCTGAAACATTGTGACTTGTGAGTGTGACACTCAGAGCGACTCGCTATTTGAACGACAAAACAAAATGAATCATAAGGGATTTCGTGACTTGTGAGTGTGACACTCAGAGCGACTCGCTATTTGAACGAGAAAACAAAATGAATCATAAGGGACTTCGATGTTCAATAAAGTATTTTTCGTTGTGTCTTCTCACGTGCAGCTCGCCGCACCTCTTTCTCTTGTATGTCTCATTAGCATTCCTCGTCCCTGCGTTTTTTACACCTCTGACGGTCCCCGCCATCCCCTAACTCTCCGGCAGGTTTCTGATCGACCGAGCGCTGACGTCCCCGCGCGTGGCCCACCACCTGTACTGGCTGCTGCACCAGTGTCTACCGGCCGACGGCGGCGAGCCCTCGGTGACCGAGGCGCGCTACCTCCGCCGGCTGACGGTACTGCAGCGGGCACTGCGCTCCACCTGCGGCAGGAACCTGCTGGGCAGGTTCCTCAGTCAGGAGGTGCTGCTGAGAGTGAGTGAACGGTGACGATGGAAAGCAAGGGGATGAAGGGGAGGATTGTGAAGTTATCAGCGGGGTAACAAAAGGGGTGGCTTCTGGAGAGGGTAATATGTGCTCTGTTTAGATGTGGTCCAGATGAGTGAGTTTATTTATGCGTGGAGATGCTCACACTGCACCCAGCTGCTGCTGATGTTTCAGGATTCTTCAAATCGTTTCAAATTGTCAATTGACTATCGAACTGTTTCCTTTTTTCTAATTATTAGAAGTTAACTGAGCCTGCTGTAAAATGTCGAATGTGTAGTGTCTCTCGTTGGTACGCCAGTTCACCTCACACTAACCGGTTTCCTAATCGTACCCATTTGACCACCTGACCTTCCTCTCCATCCGCAGGGCCTATACGAGGCGGCCGAGCACGTCAAGACCACCAAGGAGTCGCTGCGGCTGCGGGAGCTGATGCGCTGCCTGGACCAGCTGCGTGAGTCGCTGGAGCGAACGCCCACCTCCCTCCCCCTCGACCCGGCGCTGGAGGTGTGCGGCATTGACGTACCGGCGTGCTCCTACTTCCCGTCAAACACTCTGCCGCTGCGAGTGCAGTTCTGCAGCGCAGAGGACAACGGGGAGACCCTGCCGGTGATCTACAAGGTGGGGGACGACCTGCGACAGGACATGCTGACCATTCAGATGATCCGAATCATGGACAAACTGTGGCTCAAGGAGGGACTCGACCTGAGGATGGTCACCTTCAACTGCGTGCCGACGGGGCACTGCAGAGGTGAGAATGGACAAGGGAGAGAGGGAGAGAAAGGGAGAAAGGAAGATAGCAGAGTGAGGAAGCTAGAGGAGGGAGACAAAGTAGGAGTAGGTTTGTGAAGAAGGCGGGAAGGAGCAATGGAGGAGAAAGACTGGAATAGTGTGAAAATAGCAGATTCATTGTTGGCTTTGTCTAATTTGGTATGGCAACGCTTAGAGGTGCTTTACTTTAAATTTCTCATCTCGTATTCTAATCCTTATGCTCGTTTCGTGTTTAATCAGTTGCCTCGTATTTTTTCCGTCAGGTATGATCGAGATGGTGCAGAGTGCGGAGACGCTGCGGAAGATTCAGGGAGAGCACGGGGTGACGGGCGCCTTCAAAGATATGACCATCGCCGAGTGGCTGGCGAAGCACAATCCGACAGAGCTCGAGTACGAGCGGGCCGCCCAGAACTTCACTGGTGAGCCATTATAGAGGGATTGGGAAGAAGGAGAAGATGGGGAAAGGCAGACAGGGTGGGGGTTGAGTTGGGGTTGGATGTGACTCGGAGCCCGGCGATGGAGGAGAGAAAAGGTGAGTAGGAAGATTGGGACATACTTATTTTCAAAATTTCTCTCTGATAATCTGATGCTATGTGCATCACGACGGCACGGCCCGTTCAGATACAGTGCACTTGGTGACATCGAGTGGCACTTGTCATCATTGTGATGGAAAATGTTGAAAACGACGAACAGCTAGCTCTACATGTATCTTCCGACTGAGTCACCCATCGGTTGACTCCTGACCAGTGTTCTTGTCAGACCGAAAGGGCCTAATCCAACAAAACAAACAAACCTGACCAGTGCGTCTCTCCCGCACCCCCACAGCCTCGTGCGCCGGGTACTGCGTGGCCACGTACGTGCTGGGAATCTGCGACCGACACAACGACAACATCATGCTCCGCTCGTCCGGACACCTCTTCCACATCGACTTCGGCAAGTTCCTTGGCGACGCGCAGCGCTTCGGCGCCTTCAAACGGTGAGTGAGAGATGACTGTGATCTGTGTGTTTTCCTGAACTTAGTAATCAGCACCCAACGGCTTCAGCTAATCCATCGATTGGTTTACATGGATTGTACCCAGCGTTCAGCAGCTCTGCAACCCAGAGTAGCTGTGGAAAATGTACGGTGTTAAAAGGGGCATATTATATCTCTCGGCTAGGATGTTGTTATGAGATGCATATCCTTGTTCAATGTCAATGGAAGTGACTTTGTGCGCGATTGTTTTACACACGGAGCCAAATCTCTGAGCTGTCTAACCCCTGACTTCCGTTGAAGTGCCTCTGTGACCTCCCTCCTTCCCCGCAGAGACCGGGCTCCGTTCGTGCTGACCTCGGACATGGCCTACGTCATCAACGGGGGCGACAAGCCGTCAGCGCGCTTCCAGCTGTTCGTCGACCTCTGCTGCAAGGGCTTCAACATCCTGCGGCGGCACGGCAACATCTTCCTCAACCTGTTCGCGCTGGTGCGTGGACTCCCCTCTCGTTCTCTGGCTGTTCAGTTTTGTATTCTTGACTGCCTGATTACGGCAGCTTTATTGTCATTTTGTTGTGTTACTACTTACTAGCTATTCCTCTATAATAGTCGCCAGTTACCACGTACGTACGCAGCAGCTCTGAATATCTTGCTGTGACTGCGTTATGCCGGTTTATGATATTACAGCTGATCGTTCGTATTCTCCAGGTGGCATCTTCGTCTTCGCCTTTTTCTTGTAATCTACAGCTGACTGTCGCCGCTCCTTTATCTACAGTTGTTATCGCTTCTAATGCTGTAGCCATAACTTTCGACGTTCACTCATGCATTCCCGATTAAGACCATTCCTCTAGACTAATGTACAAATAACACCCATCGCTGTGTCCTCTAATGACGCCACCTCTCCCCTCGCCTCCTGCCCCCACAGATGACGTCGTCAGGCATCCCGGGCGTGTCCCGTGACGCCATCGACTACATCCAGCGCGCGCTGCTGCCCAACATGGTCGAACACGAGGCGGCTGCCTTCTTCGCCCGCATGATCCAGGAGAGCCTCAAGTCGTGGTTCACGTCTGTCAACTTCTTCCTGCACAGCCTGGCGCAGCTGCGCTTCACAGGAGACCACAACGACGAGCAGCTGCTCAGCTTCGTGCCCAAACGATACACGTGAGTGTGTAGGGACGTGGGCTAGGTGGGGGTATCAGTGAGTGTGACTTTGTGAAGTCATTGACGAATTTGGCAATTTTTAATGGGCTGTAGGTGGAGGAACGTTATATGGATGTCGCGGTTAGCTACGAAAAGGAAAAAGTAAGGAACTTAATTGTATTCATGCGATCGATTCGATCGCCCTTCGAATTCATTTAAGCTTATCTTGACAACTCACCGTACAAACATTGGTTCGGCTACAGCTTTTAAAGGTACCTGAGTCAAAAATCAAACGCAAATCGTAGGCTTTGCCAAACTACCTACCTCGTCCTCGTAACTTCTTCCTCGTATCGCTGTTTTCTCCCGCTTTTGCTCTATCGAAACTTAGTTACCGCATAGGTCGATCTGAGTCTCATCTGACCGTGTCCCCGTCCGCCCTGCAGTGAGGCGACGGACGGTCGGATCAGCTCCGTCACCGTGTACGGCTATCAGAAACGCTACGAGCCGGAAAAGTGCTACGTCTTCATCCTGCGCGTGCAGCGAGAGAACATGACAGACCCCGTCTACGTGTTCAGAACGTACAAGGAGTTCATCGAGTTTGGCCAGAAGCTCACCATGGCCTTCCCACTGGTCATGGACTTCTACAGGTGTGTATCTAGGAATCGTTCGTGGCATTGGGATGCTATGGAATATTGATCGCTGCTCATGCGAGCTGAAATACATCGAGCACGCACTAACTGGTTCATGGACATGAATGCTGGGCTTGATAAAGACTGCTTTTTGCTGTTTTCCGTGTGGATATGCTGACAAAGCTAATTATCTTCTCTTCTATTTAGTTTAAGGGTTGCTTATGCCATTTGGCCCTAGCAAGTAGCAAGTCGTCAGGGCAAATTTATTTCCTGCATTTTACTTTGCCTTGCAATTTTCTCATCAGTTCACCAGTTTTACAGGCAAGATCACCGCGTCAACTCCAAATCACCAGCTCCTCTGACCTGACTCTCCCCTCCCCTCCTCAGTCTGCCGAAGGGCGGTCGGCTGGGCCGGTCCCACATTCGCCAGGTGGCCGAGGCGCGCCGGCGCAGCATCTCCAACTTCCTGCGCAAACTGTGGCAGCTGGCGGACGAGGTGCGACACTCGGACATCGTCTACACGTTCATGCACCCGCTGCTGAGGGACCAGCAGGAGGACAGCATCAACACCAGGAAGCTGAAGGGTGAGTGGACCACAGTACAGCATCAACTCCAGGAAGCTGAAGGGTGAGTGGACTGGTCAGGAAGACAGCAGCATACCAGGAAACTCAAGGGTCAGTAGACCAGCAGGACAGCATCAACACCAGGAAACTCAAGGGTGAGTGGAATCGTGGTAAGGATAGTCGGAAGTCAGAAGAGAAGAAACAAGTGGCGTGAGGGCAGATTCATGCCTCTTTGTTGTCTAGCGCCTGGATCGGTGATTTTTTTACCATGCTGATTACTTGCTGGACCCTGACATGATTTCTCATCGTGTTATTTACCGGGGTTAACCCGTGATTGTTAGTGGTGCAAGTTACCGTCTGGACAATGTCTCGCTGTCCGTTGGCCCGTGGCCGTCGTTTCGTCTTCTCTGACCTCCCCTGCCACCACCTCCACAGAGCCAAAGCCGACCGTTAACCGGACAGCTCCTCACTACATCCGTGGCCAGCTCCAGCTGAGCTTCTGCTACCAGCGCAACACGTTCAGCGTCTTCGTCCACCACGCCAAGGACCTGGAGCTGCCCGACGGACAGGAGCCCAACGCCTACGTCAAGATCTACCTGCAGCCCGACCCCAACAAGGTCACCAAGCGCAAGACCAAGGTGGTGCGCAAAAACAACCACCCGAGCTTCATGGAGAGGGTAGGTGTGGCGTGTAGGGTTGGATTACATGGCTGGCACACTAAGAGATAAGGCTGCAAAGTGTTTTTTTCCTAGCTGATGTGCCTTCTTTGTATATTATCATTCATATTCAGGTTGATTATAAGGTTAAGTTCATTCGGATTCTTGCTTCGTTTGATGAGCATCGTATCCTATCAGCAATTACTTGACGAGCTTATCTCAGGAAGGTAACTAATTAGTACTCTTCGCTATAATCGCTGACACTCGTCTTGATTGCCTTCCACAGATCGTCTACCGTATGCGGCTAGCAGCTGTCGAAGACAAAACGCTCCAGGCTTCCCTCTGGCACCAGGACCACCTCCAGGAGAACGTGTTCCTTGGCGCGGTGGTGGTCCGCCTGGCCGACTTCGACCTGACCCAGGAGACCCAGCAGTGGTACAACCTGACCAACTTCAGTCGGTGAGAGGACGCCGCGCGTCGGGGAGATGAGAATTTTACCGACGGCCGAGGAGGGGTTCTCGGAGGTCATTGTCACTGTGAAGGCAACAGCTGAGGCCGCGTGAAGCTCGCTCGCCGGGAGACTGGGTGCTAAGACACACGTTCCGCGCTCCAGACTGTGCCAGTTCCTGGTGAGTAACTCTTGCTGGCTGCGCACGGCAGGTTTCGTGATTCGTTTACAGGGTGGTGATCTACACACACAGGCAGACCTCTGGGAAAGGTCTGATGTTTGCCGTTAGGAGGTCGTTGTTGACCGTTGTGGGGACCTGCAGGCGTCATGCCTGGGTTGGGTGGAACGGTGCTAAGTGGCTGTAAGTACCAAAGGACGAGGCGGGAAGTCGTTTGGACCATAGCTGGCGTAAAGACTAAAGGAATGGTGTTAAGTGACAACGGGGATGGCTGAAGACGGCTACTGATAACAGAGACATGTGTTGCGAGTTTCGTCTTTGCGGGGCCTCCTCTGTCACCTTGACTGCAATATGAAGACCCCAGCCGGTTAGGAGGCGCAAGCTGTCTTTGCTGATGAGCTGGTACTCCTGTGAAGGGCACAGCAGCGGGTCTGCTGAAAAGGCTTCACCCCTGCGGCCGGCTTGGTAGTCGATTATTTGCATCACGCGCGATGTGTCACGCTTTTTATCGGGCAGGCACCCAGGAGGCCTCCCGAATCTGTTGGGTCTAGTCTCGAAGACGCACACTGGAGATATTAGATGTTTATTCGCTCGAGCGGACCTCCTCCGAGCCTGCCGCGCTTCCAGAGCTTGTTCCACTATGGTATGACTGTGACGACTTTGTGCTGCAGGGACAGCCTGTTATTTAGCGTGAATGTGCAGCGCATGAAGTAGAGTTGTGAGTCTGTGTGGTTGACTTGGTCACCGGCTGTCATAATGGGTTATATGCAGGGTGCGAAAGATGCCAGTGGCTAGTCGAAGCGTCTAGAGTGACTAGCTGAGCTGCTTATTTCAGCCATGTCTTAGAGATGAGTGCGCGTCGTATATCTACTTATTTTAGGCTCCGGTAATAGAATGTCAGCCGTAGCGTGATGTATACTATTATCTGTTCTGTGATTGGAGCCAAACTGGCGGTCAGAGATCATGATTTGTGATTCAATTTGTGATTGGTTGCGGCTTCTTGTGCACATGAGCTGATTGGTCCAAATACGCCACACTGACTGCTGATTGGTGGGGGCGCCTGTTATCTGACTTCTGATTGGCCAACCGCGCCACACCGCTCGCTGATTGGTGATTTCGTCGCGTCTTTGGCACGCCACCGGCGGCTCAGTTCTGCGATTGCTGACAGTATTTGCCGTTGAGCACGTTAGACCGCGGTTTCAAGCATTCCATACCTGTGTTGCGCGAGCTTCGGGCCTGGCTCCGACGGTTTGTCGACGCGTCCTAGTCGTCCTGTCCGCGTCTCTTTGCCGGTACTGTCATCAGACCCTCCGCGCGATGATCAAATCTGGTCGGGGAAAGACCGACTGATAGCTTTACACTGACGCGAAATGAGCTCTGCTGTCGAGTACCCTGTTGTCAACCCCGCCACTGTCTGAACTTTGTCTCCGATATCGTATCATTGAAGACATTTGATCGATGCTGTATGCGACTGTTGTGTTTCACTCCCTGACAGTCCCATCTGTTTGTCTGTGTCTGTCTCATCGGGTGTCTGTTTTATACCGGGCCGTTTCTACGTCAGGTCAGATGATCTGACCCTGACTCCTGCACTCTGTGACCAGATATTATATAACGATGTGTGTATGTGTAAATATACTACAGGTAGCGCGCTGCCTTTCAACAATTCCCTTTTGTTTTCCGTGTGATTTGTTTTGTGGCTGTGAAAGATGGGAGTAAAATTCTCGCACGCTATTTTATTCACGTCGCGTCACAATCACAGTAAAGATATTGCCGAGAAACTTGGCGATACTCCAGCAGCGCTCGGCGTCGAGCGCTCAGTAATGCACTTAATCACACTCGGTAAGCATATGACGGTTACACGATTAATTCCGCCGAGCCCCGCCCCGTGTGCAGCTAGACCCGACCGGCTCATTAACCAGCTCGGCTGAGGCGTCCCCACTTGTTCGCAGTAGCTTCAGTAGCGGTAACAGCACCGCCAATACAATCACTCAGTCATCAACGTTCATTAAAACACTCGCGCCGCGCACCAAGTGCGTTTCTTAAACGATAAAGTCTTTCAGCAAAGCAACAGTAAGGCGACGGATGGGTTGGGTATGGGACCACGCGCGGGCAGGCGCCGCGCCGGGAACACTTCTCGTCCCACCCGGCACACGCAGCACTCGTAACTCTCACTCCCGCAGTCTGTCTTTGGGTGCGGCCGCACCGGGGCGGTCACGTGACTCGGCGCGGCGGTGGCGGCGGTTCAGCCAGCTGGTCACGTGGGCTGCAGCTTCTGGAAGGTGTTGGCCATCTCGAGGACGCGCGAGCTGCGAGGGGCCGGCGCGCGGGCTGGTGCCAGGGTGTCGGGCTGTGGGAAAGACAATATCGGTTACTGGAGGTTCAAGACCCAGTGACCAGTTATATAGACGTTGAGAGAGACTAGCAGCATACCGCTCAACCCCAAGAGTCATCTCGGCAGAGCCATTCCATTGTTGAACTTACAAGGTCAGTTTAAATGAAATATCAAAACAATAGGTATACTCGTATGATAAATTGCAATGGAAATTTAAAAGTAGCACCTGATACAAATGACGTTCGTGTCACCTTCCTTTTACTCACCTCAATGATGATCTCCTTGTGTCCCAGTTTGCGCATGGTCTGCTGCTCCCTCTGCTCGCGCTGTTCCCTTCTCTCCCGGACCAGTTTTAGCCAGTCGGCAGTCGGCGCTCCCTCCTCGGGCTGAACCGACCGCCTGTGCTCCCCACTGGGCCCGGCCGCCGCTGAGGCCGCCGACACCGAGCGAGGGGTCTCGGGGGTCGCCTTGACACGCGGTGGTTCAGTCACCACAGCGGGGGTGTCTGTAACAGCCGCCGAGGGCGACGGGCGCGGCTGGGTGGGCGGTGCCGGTTTCCGCGGTCTCTCGGGTCTCTCCGGCCGGACCGGCGCGGTCTCGGTCGGTATCGGACCGATGGAAGGCGGTCCCGCCTCTCGGACCGTCGGGCTCTTCGGTCCGCCGACCGGCATGCTTACGGAGCGTTGGTTCCAGACTGAACGCGCCTCTGAAGGCGAGACAGACGCAGTCTCCGCCGCAGGTTTGGGTCGGTCCGAGTCCTTCTCTTCAGTCGACACCCGCAGTGGGTCCTCAACTGGCGAGGTGGGTGTCGATAGTTTCGGCGCCGACTCCTCAGAGTTGACTGACTTCAGAGAGCGCCGTTTGAACACCTTTAGGAGTTCAGAGTCGGGGGAAGTGCTGGTGGCAGCGGCGGCGGGTGGCGGGGGCCTTCGACGCAGCACCACAGGCTCTGAATCATCCGAGTCCTGTGTGCTCTGTCTGCCCAGGGAGGAATTCCGGGAGGACTCCGGCGTCCTCACCGAGGAGAGGACATGGCGGGCCGGTACCTCCGGCGCTGCCTTATGGCTCTTCGGAGACGCGGGTGCCTCAGACTCCGTCTTGACGGTACTGCCCACACTGTCCTCGTGATCTGACTGGGTGCTAGCACGAGACTGACGGGGGCTGTGCTTCTCAACGAGCACAACCTCTGGGATATCATTTGTCATGCAATCAAACTTGTGGTCAGGTTTAGCATCCGCCTTTTTCTCATTTTTCTTAGCGTCCACCTTTTTCTCCGCCATTACCTCTGCCTTCTCCTTCTCCTCAGCTTTCGCTGTCGGTTTGGAGAGGCTCTCCCTCGGTTTTGGTTTGGGCACCACCACCTGTGTGGTCATGGCTGACGGCGTCTCCACCCGATGCAGATGAACCCTCATAAACTCGGGCGTCCTGTCACCCTCCTCCCCCGACGAGGTCCTCTCAACTGGCGAGTGTCGGGACGCCTCTGAGGAGGGAGACGAAGGGGGAGCGTCTGCTGAACGGACGGCAGGCTCCGTCTCTGAGGTCGTCCTCGGCTTCACCGGAACGTCAGGCCTGTCCTGTGTCGCCGGAGAAGTAGAGAGAATGGACGTCTCTTGGTTGATGAGATCGTCACACCGTCCACTATCCGAAGCGGCGCTCTCAACACTCTCTGCCAGACTCTTTCTCGATCCGGACCGATCGCTCGCTTTGCTGCTGGACGCGCTTTCCGGGCGTCCACTGCCGGTTTCCTCGCGGTCGCTCTCCTGACCAACCGAATCCCGCGACCCTTCCACCTTCGCCTCCACAACCGACTCCGAGCTGCCACTCCTGCTCACATCCTCCTCACTCTTTCCGTTCTCGCTGGCCTCCGAACTCCCCCGCTCTACCTCGACCTCACTGCTGGTACCACTCAGCCTCTCAGACGAGCCAGCCGGGGAAGCAGCCACCTCGTCACACCCCTCGCCGATCCTCGCGCTGTCAGCGGCACTGACTGCGGGGTCGGCGGCGGGGGCCGGGCGGGGCAGTTCCACCGGCTCAGTGCGGTCGGCAGCCAGCAGCATGGCAGAGTCCAGAGAGCGTGGGCCAGAGTCTGGCGGGGGAGCGGGCTCAGCGCCGCCAAACACCAGCGCAGAGGCGCGTCGGCGCTGCGCCGCTGTCGGCTGTGACGGGAAGAGAGCGTGGCCGCCTGGTGGGGAGCCACCGGGGGCGGATAGGGTCGGGTCGGCGCTGCTGGCCGGACGACGGACCGGTTTAGCCCGCGCCGGTCGCAGAGGGACCATTGAAGACGGGCCGCTCGGTGGCATCGAGGCCCTCTGCAGTTCCTCTGTAATCCAGGGCGGGGTGGGAGGCCTGTCCTCCTCCGCCGCGAGAGGCGGAGGAGACTTCCTCAGTTCATCTTTCACCCACGGCGGGGTCGTTTTTGTCTTTTCTTCAGCTGGCGGCGTCTTTGGCTGTTCTTTGATCCAAGTCTTACGAAGTTCATGCCCAGACGATGGCGGAGTTTTCCGCTGTTCCTCTTTCACCCAAGACGGCGTTCGCTGTACCTCCTCCTCACCAGAAGAGGAAGACCTAGCCTCCTTCACATAAGTCTTTCTCAGCTCGTGGCCAGAGCCTGTTGATGCCTCTCGAGGTGGAGACCGACGCAGTTCCTCCATCCAGGAGAGCTTCTGACTGCCTGAGCTGCGACGAAGCGGAGAGGAACGTTCCTCCTCCGTCCTCTCAGGAGTCTCCCGGCGGCGTCTGAGAACAGGCGGGGATTCCTCATGCTCCTCCTGTTCCTGCGACTGCTCCTGATCATTCTCCTCCGGCTCCTCGGGATTGATCTCCACAGGAGCGACCTCGGCGGGTGTCTCTTGGTCAGGGATCGACTCCAGCGACCGCGGCTCATCGTCAACTGACGTTTTGGGAGCCGGCGGCTCGGACTGCTCAGCACCCTCACTGCCCTGTGACACCGACCGTGACCCCGTGCGGAGTATCGACCGAGGACGAACAGTGACCTCAGGTGACCTCTGAGCCTGCTCCTCCTGTCGCACTTCCTCCTCCTGAGGACTGGCCGGAGCCTTGTCCTCCTCGGCGCGAGCCATTTCCTCCCTCCTGGCCGCCAGAAGACCGGCCTCCTTCATCTCCCTGGCCAGAGCAGCCGCTGACTGTTTTCTCTCCTTCACCACGGGGTTCTCTGGAGGTTTGTCCACCACGTCCGGCTCTGAGGCGACCTCTGCCGGCGGCGCCGAGCGAACGCTCTCCAGGGACACCGGAGGTCGAGCCGGCTCCGGCTCGGGCGCCTTGACGACCGCCTCCCGCTTCTCTTTGTCCTCCTGAGAGACATCGCTGCGCGGCTGGGGACGCGGTGCCTCCTCTGTCTCTTTCCCAGTCTTACGTTTCCTTCCACTGCGCCGGGAGCCGAACAGACGGCTAAAGAAGCCGCCCTCCGACTTCTTCTCCGGGGCCGGCTCCGAGGTGTCCCGACCCCAGAGTTTGCGCGGTGACAGGTCACGCAGGCGACGATCGGCGATTGTAGAGCGGGAGCGCTGCACGGGAGTGGCACGCTCGGCGACCCCGGCGGCGGGGAGGGTGGCCCGACCACGCTCGGTGCCGGCGGCGGGAGCACCTGTGGGCACAGGGAGAGACGGTGTCAGAGGTGACATGATGGATAGCAACAAACAGACACATGTTTGAACGGAACACTGGCCAATCATGACAGACTTTATTGCGAAGGTTGAACTTATTGAAGAAACGACGCGGAGGGATAGTCTGGGGGCCATGAACAGTTAGATGCTTAAAAAATAACTGCCAAGTAGCTCGGCAACAAAAGAGACATCGCAACTAGTTAGAACTTACGTCCGATTTTTTTTTATCAAAATTGAATAGCTGTTAGCCTCCGCACTACCCTGCACTTGACCTTAATTGAACCACAATTTAACACGTCATGCTACGATAAAACCACTACCGAAAGCCGTGACAGAACCGACCTAAATCGAATCAGATCAGGGCCAGCACGGACTAAAACAGATCAAACGAATCAGAGCTAGCCCACGAGACAGAAGCCGTTTAATGCTCCTGCAGAAGCCGCCAAAGCCGGCACAGCCTCGACCTTCCCCTCCATATAACGTGACTTAAAGTCACGGACCGGTCTGAACACGGTCATGATAATCACGACCGTCACAATGCCATGATCCATAACGGCGTGTCACGATGCCCATTACGCAACCTGTCAAGATTGTTACGTCGGCCATCATCGAGTTCGTCACCTCCTACTTTACTAAACCAGCATTCAGCTTGGACAACTCCCATTTCATCCCTCAACATGCGTTTGTCACATCTCCAGCCACACTGTGC